GGAAGGGGTGTGGCAGGCAGGCTGGAGCTCCCAAGGTGTCTGTAGCGGAGGAAGCCAGGACTCCCAGTTCCTTGGGAAGTTCCTGGCAGGGGCAGGCAGCCTGGGTGTAGAAGCCAGAATGGGTGCCAAGCTGACTTCCTGGGAGGAGGCAGAGGAGGACAATGGGACTGAGCAAAAGGCTGGAGAGAGCCATGACAAGAGGGAAGAGGGCCGCTCATGGTACAGAGAGCAGGGCGTTGGCTGCGTGTGCCAGGCTTTTGCAGGGAACCGGGAGGAGGCTGTACCGGGAGTGGACTCTGGTAGACTCTGCCATGTGAGATGGCAGGGTCCTGCAGTTACCGTCTTCCTCCTCCAGGTCAATGACGAAAAGGTGGCCATTCCCTACAAGCCCAATGAGAACCTGCTGGTCAGCCTGCGGTCCCACCGCCTATACATGACCACGGACTTCGGGTTGGCCGTCAGCTTCAACGGGGATAAACATGCAGGTACCCTCTCAGGGCAGGGATGGGGATGGGGTAGAGCAGGAACCATAGCTGCTGCCAAGGAGTAGGGCACTGCTGGGAAGGCCAGTGGGAATGGTGGGGGGGCTCGGGAAGGCTGCCGAGCACAGCTGGGCCTCTGCACCCACCCCCTGCAGTGATCTCCATGCCCAGCACGTACCTGGGCCTGGTTCACGGCCTGTGCGGGAACTTTGACCGAAACCAGAACAACGAATTCATGCTGCCCAGCGGCGATTTCACAGACAATGTCAGCGTGTTTGGAAACAGCTGGGAGGTGAAGGAAAACCAAGCCCTTCTGGTCCGAGTCCCCAGGTGAGAGGGTCCTGACAGTGGGCGGTGAGCCAGGGCCTAGCATCTCTCCACACTTCTGACCCTCAGGAGGGTGGAACCCCAGACTTGCCCCTGGACCCTAGCCCTGTCCTTTCCTCTCAGACTCACGAAAGACACCCGCGTTAGGCCAGGGTTGTCCAGACAAACAAACCCAGGGACACTCATATATGTGTAAGAAAGAGTTCACTGTCAAAGAACGATGATCTCTAAAGAGAACATCCCCGCCCAGTCCAACTCGAGTTCATAAGGCCACTATTAGTCCACAAGTGTCTCTTCAGACTCATGCAGCCCCATGCAGCCGTGCAGAATGCAGGAAGGTCACAGGCCCGTGGTGGGTGCAGAGACTTGTGGGTCCAAGGCCGGAGGATACGTGGCAGGGTGCTGGCAGCTCTCAGGGTGGCCATGCAGCCGGAAGGGAAAGGCAGAGAGAGGAGGAGGTTCCCAGGGTCCTCCTTATAAAGAGGCCACCACCCCGAAGGAGTTAACATCAGGCCAGGACCTGATTGATAGGTTGAGTCCACCCCTACACTTTTATGCATCTTTAAGCTGACATCCCATTTTCTAACGATCCCCAGCACCTGTTTCATGGAGAGGGCTCTGGCCGCCCCTGAGCCTCTCTTCTCTGAGTCCTCCCCTGGCCTGGCCTCTCCTCCCCGCACTCTCTGTTCCAGGGCCACACAGGAGGAGGGACAGGAAGAAGGGCAGTCAGGCTTCGGGCTGTCAGAGTGCAGCCCCGAGCAGCTTGTCAACAACACCCAGGCCTGCAGGGTGCTGGCTGACCCCCAGGGTCTCTTTGCTGCCTGTCACCAGACTCTGGCTCCAGAGCCCTTCCAGGAGTAAGTCCAAGGCCCCGTGTCTGGGGCGTGGCCCAGGCTGTGGGAGCTCCCTGGAGTCCCGCTGTCCCCCCACCCTCTCGGTGACCTCCTTCCCTGGCTCCCACCCCATGTCCCTGACTTCCTTCTGCTTGGCTTCAGGCCCTGTCTATGGGATTGAGTCCCCACCTCTGACGGC